TCTCCCAATTCCCCAATAAAATCTTTAAAAAAAAAAAACAACTCCTAAATAAATTTCTAGTTCATTCCCCACTTTCTAGCTCCACTACCAATTCCTAATCTAAGTCACTACCATATCTTACCTAAAATACTGAAAAACTCCAAATCAGTTTCTCTACTTTTGCTCCTATCCTTTTCTAACCCATCTTTACTCAGAGTCTAAATACATCATTTCTAAAATACAAACTGTACTATGTAACTCTCCTGATTAACATGTTTTAGTGAATACAAGGTTAAAAAAAAAAGGCAAAAAATTGCACCTCTATATTCAACCAGCAATTGGAAAATTAAATTTTTAAAAAACTTACAATAGCATTTTTAATACATCAAATAAAGGTCCTTACTCTGGAAAACAACAAAAATCAAGATACTCAGAGTAGCATCCATCAAGTTCAGCTTATAATAAAATATCAGATGTGGTAAAAAACAGGAGAAAAAAAAATCATACAACAGAAACAGGCCCAGAAAGAACTGAAATGACATAATTAGCAGACAAAGACTTTAAAACAAATATAATTCATGAATATAAATAACATAAATGTAGTAACGGAATAAATATAGAATCTCAACAGAGAAATGGAAGACATGAAAAAGACCAAAAAGAAACTTCTAAAGTTGCAAAATATATTATCTAAAATAAATACATGAGATGACATAAAAAAAATCAGACATTACAAAATTAGAGATCAGTGAACTTGAAAGTAGTACAATAGAAACTATCTAAACTCAAAAAAAAAAAAAAAAGGCTGGGAAAAAAATTAAGAAAAGCATCAAGTCCCAAGAGAAAATCTTAAGCAGTCTAATATAAATGTATAATTAAAACTCCATAAAAGGGGAGATATTAGTAAAGAAAAAATATTTTAAGAAATCACGGTCAACAAGGATAATGTCCTATATTTGGAATCTATGGAATTGTTTTGGAGTTTAATATTTACTTAATTACACAGTTAATTCACTAGGCACAAAGAATAAAACAAATTTAATGGCTTTCTTTTTTTAAAAAAAGTAAAAAAATCTTCAAACTATAAAACCACTGATCTTAGAAGCAAATATAAATCCACTGCTCTTAGAAGCAAAACGGACCCAAAGCTAAATAAAAAGATACTACAACATGACAAATGGCTAAAGACCAATGATAAAGAGAAAAATCTTAAGAGGGGGGCGTTTGTGTGGATGCAGTTAAAAAAAAAAAAAAAAAAAGGTTTGACCAGAATTTTCATCAGAAGCAATGCTAGCCAGAAGTCAATAAAAAATTATTTTTAAAGTGTAGTAGGAGGGAAAACAGTGCAATAAAAATATCTTTCAAAAATAAAGGTAAGGGCCGGGCGAGTGGCTCAGTTGGTTGAGAGCGTGAGCTCTGAGCAATAGGGTCATCGGTTCGATTCCTACATGGGCCAGTGATGCTGCGCCCAAACTGGGCTACCATTGAGCTGGTGAGAGTGCGTGCTCTTAGCAGCAAGGTTGCTGGTTTGACTCCCACATGGGATGGTGGACTACGGTCCTCCCTGCCCGCCCCCCCAACTAGATTGAAAGCGGAGACTAGACTTAAGAGCTGAGCTTATGCCCTCCACAACTAAGATTAAAGGACAACAACTTGACTTGGAGCGGATGGGTCCTGGAAAAACACAATGTTCCCCTTTCCCAATATTGCAACACTGTTCCCCTCCCCAATTCCCCAATAAACATCTTTAAAAAAAAATTAAAATTAAAATTACAAAAAAAATAGGTAAAATTGATTTCATAGATTTCCAAACAAAAGTAGAGAGAACTTTTCGCCAGCACACCTATAAGAAAAAGTAAATGTTCTCTAAGCTGAAGAATAATGATACAAGGTACATGTCTAAGATATAGAGAAAAAGAAAGAGAACCAGAAACAGGGACACATGGATAAACTAAAAACTTATTTCCTAATTTAATTTCCTAATTTAAGAAATGCCTGATCAAGGCAAAAATATAAACAACGTATTGTGCAATTTATAACATCGAGAAATAAAATGTATTATTTCTTTTTTTTTTTTTTAAAGATTTTTTTTATTGGGGAATTGGGGGGATGGGAACAGTGCTGGGGAATTGGGGAAAGGGGAACAGACAAGTTGCTGTCGTTTTGTTCTTCAATCTAGTTGTGGAGGATGTTGCTTCACTGGCCCAAGTTGGCACCATCATTGCGCTCTTCTCTGGCGAGGCAGATCAGTCGCCGGCTTCTGGACGGCCGCTCACTGCGGCTGCTGGCCGCTCACGCTGGCTGCTGGCCACACATGGTAGCCCATGGCAATCCACTGCCACAGGGACTGCAGCCCACGCCGTCGCCAGCGACTCATGGCAGCCCAGCTCCAGGTTGAGCTGTTGTTCAGCATCTTAGCTGTGGAGGGCAGTGTCACTGGCCCTCATATGTGGGATCCGAACCGGGGCCCTCTGGCTCCGAACCGGGGCCCTCTGGCATCCCAAGCGAGTTCTTAACCATCGCGCCACTCGGCCGGCCCAAAATGTATTATTTCAATAGCACAAGGACAGGGTAAGAGGAGGGAAAATGAAGGAATACTGTGGTAAGATGTAGTGATATTTAAAAGTTGACTGTGGGGTCAGCCGAGCGGCGCCTTGGTTAAGAGTTGGCTTGGGGGACCAGCCGAGTGGCGCGTTGGTTAAGAGCTGGCTTGGGAAGCAGGCTCTGAGCAGCAGGGCGCCGGTTCGGATCACACATAGGGCCAGTGACACTGCCCTCTACAGCTAAGATGGTGAACAACAGCTCGACCTGCAGCTGGGCTGCTGTGAGTTGCGTGATGGCCCATAGGCTGCAGCCCCTGCTGCAGGGCTGCCATGAGCTACCATGAGTGGCTGGCAGCCGGAGTGAACTGCTGTGAGTGGCCGTCCAATGGCTGGCGAGTGACTGCCTCACCCAGGAAGAACACAATGATAATACCAACATGGGCCAGTGAAGCAAAGTCCTCCACAACTAAAGAACAAAAGGGCAACTTGTCTGTTCCCCTCCCCCAATACCCCAATAAAATTTAAAAAACAAAACAAAAAAACCTCAGCTTCTCAATTAGTTACAAATTAAAAATGTTATAGCAGCATTTAAAAGTGAGTCCAAAAGAGTACTACAAGAGTACAGGTTAGATCTTTGCAAGGCACAAAACCCCTCCAACACGGCGTTAGTACAATCTCCATCAGAGTATGTATTTCCTTCCCTTCCTACTAATTTTGAGTTGAGACTTCACTAGATTCTAAGAGTTCTTCACTAGAGTTCTAAAAGGGTGGTCCTTGGTGTGTTTGTTGTAGAATGTGGAGTCTGTCATCATAACATCTGTTGTTAAATTCATAAGCAAATCAACTTTCAGGGTTCTCAACTTCCCTACATGCCAGTAAAATGAAGACTTTCAATACCTACAAAGAAAAATGAGATTACCGGATTTACTTTGGAAATGCGATACTACTTAACACACAGTAGGCACCTAACACTCTTTGGGTTTGCATTTTGCTCAGGGTTTTAGTTTAACAGGCATCCCAGGTTTGAAAAAGAAAAGAAAGAAAAAAAAAAGGAACAAGAGAGATTTAAGGAATTTGTCTTTGGGGTTCGTTTCCCCAGATAGGTTCAGAAGGGTCTTCCGGTTACGGTCCCCAGGCCAAAGATTCGAGTAGTAGGAGCCGATGAGTCACAGCCTCTGGGACATACCGCGTCCACAACGCACGCGGAGGAACAGTCGAGGTTTGTAGCATTTGGGATCATTACAATAAGCACCACCGGCCAAGCCTAGTGCTACTGCTAGCACTTACGTCGAAATTTACACCACCCTGTAAAACAGCTGCTACCTACGGGGGTCAAAGGTGAGAGCCGGAGACCTGAGGAGGGGACACACCCAAGGTCACGAGGAGGTGGGGGAGGAATGGGACTCGCTCTCGCGGCGCCTCCACTAAGCTGCACAAGGTCAGTGTTTTCGGCCCAGAGCCTTGGACGCCCCTCCAGTTTGCACTGCCCTGGCGACGACTGGAGCTTGGCACAAATTCAGCCTCTTCAGACTTTACCCCCACCCCACGTCGACCAAACGAACCAAGTCTCCGCACAGTCCCCGACGACTCGCCGTGCTGGCTGGGCACGGGGCGGCCGGGCACCCGGCGTCCGACGGAAGTTCGCGTCCCCGCCCCCGCCCCCGCCCCCATCCTGGTGCTCACCTGCACCACGCAGCAGCCCAGGGCATCCTTCTGAGCGTCCGGAAGGGCTATGGTCCGGGGCGAGATGCTCGGGTGCAAGAAGTGAACCATGGCAATACCCGCCAGAGGGGCGTGAGGAGAGAGCGGTCGTCGAGCAGGGGCCCGGAACTCGCGAGAGGTAGAGTCGGCCCGCCGGGAAGCAGCTGAACAGCGCCAGGTCCGCGGACCGCGCACGCAGCGCTTGCGCTGCTAGATCCGGGCCGCAAAAGGCTTTTGAAACGCCCGGCGTAGCGACGCGCACGCGCCCGCCGCAGCCTCACCGCCCGCTGGTAGAGGCCGGCCCACCGCAGACCCCGCCCCCAGGAGCAGCCCTCCCCAACCTCACCCACGTCGACCACCGGGCTACGCCATCCAGGCCCAACACCGCAGGTAGCTGTTGTGCTATCCCAATTCCTACTCACACCTCTGAGACCAACCTCCCTCAAGCCCATCCCTCAGGGGCTGATACCACATTGGTTTCGCCCCTCAGAGGCATGCCTGTGGACCCGATTATGGAGTTGGGAAATAGAACATGTATTTTTAATACTTTAAAATACAATATATTTTTTAAAGACCTTTCTCCTAAAAATCTGGCAGCAGAACCTCTCCCTGTTTCAACTCCTGGAAGAATCAAATATCAAAACCACTTATGACCTCATAAGTACACAAAATTAATTACTGAGCTTTCTTGTGCCCTGAAAAGTACGAAGATCCTTATCACCTGCTCCAAGAGAGCAGTAAATTAGTACTCTTTAGCTAATTTAAAAGAATATATGTCTTGGAAAAGGATAGTTCTTAAGAGTATGGAGCCTTGGATTTGAATCCTGGATTGGAATGTCCGCTCAGCCTTCTACTTAACTTGTGACCTTGGGCAAGATTCTTAGAATCTCTAAAGCTCAACTTCCCAACAATAAAATGGGATGAGAGCACTTTACCTCACAGGATTATTGTGAGGATTAAATACATTAATGTATGTAAAACACGACAATGTTTGGCACAAAGCAATTCCTTTATAAATGAATTCAAATGTTAAAATTATTTTTCAAGGACAAATAACTTTGCAAAATACTTTTCTTTCACATTTATCCTTTTATTTAATCCTCATACAAAAAGAAACCCCAACTTGAGCAGTAGGTATCTCCATTTTACTCATAAACTGAACACACCTGACAGGTTAAATAGACAAATTAAATCTTACCTACCTTATGAATGGAAAGCCTGGAAATCAAAATCAAGTTTCCTAGCTTCCAAGTCCAAATCAATATTCTTTTTTTTTTTTAAGTGGACTTTTTCATACCTTCCCTTCTATCCTCAAACTTCCAACACCTCCTCTTCCCCACCAGACTCTCAGCTTCTCTTTCACTGAAAAAAAGAAAAGCAATCAAAAAGAACATTCCAAATTCCCACTATCACATCTACCTACCAGTATAGGTGCCCTGTCTGTGTGTTCCCCATTACTATAAATGATTTATACTATTGATATTACCTGAGGCCAACCTCTGGACTTGTGCACTAAATCTCATCCCCCACTACTTATTCAAAGACATCATCCAGCAACATCCTCTTTTTCTCCTGTGTTATCATCTTTACCCTCTTTCTTGGATCATTGCCACCAGCATATAAACAACCTGATAATTTTTTCATTTAAAAAACAAAAAAAGATTTCTTTGACCTAATTTCTCTATTCAGGTATTGCCCCATATCTCATAGCATAATTTCTCCAAAGTGTGCTGTGTACATGCTGCCTCCAATTTTTCTCCTACCATTTTCTTTCACCCCTGCCACTCCTCTAAATGTTCTTGTCAACTTCCTAGTTGCTAAATTCAACGGTCACTTCTCATTTCTCATCTTATTTGACTACTTAGCAGCATTTGACCCAAATGATCACTTCTACCCTAAAATAACTTTCTTCATTTGGCTTCCAGGGCACATCTTCACCTCCTCCTCGCCCTATCCTTTCTTCTTCTTTCTTTCTTTCTTTCTCTCCTACTCCTACTTCATTGGCTGCTCCTTCTCGCTTTCTTGATTCCACATCATCCGGACTTCTAAATCTTTGTATATCCCAGGACTCATTACTTGTATACCTCTTTTCTATCCATTCTCTCTTAATCGTGGTGATTTTATCTAGTTTCATAACTTTAAAAGCAATATATATGTTCATGTATCCCTATTTTATATGTCTAGACTATTCCTCGCTTTTAAACTTCAGACTCCAGCTGTCTATCAACATATCCATCTGGTTATCTAAACAGTATTAATGTATCCAAAAATAAACTGATATCCTCCCCTCAACCTGTTCTTCCTGCCAGTCTGCCCCGTTTCAGTATATGCCAATTCATTCCTTTTTGTTGCATATGACAAAAACCTTGGAAATCATGTTTTACTCTTCTTTTATATCCCATATCCTATCTGTTAGGGAATTCTGTTGGCTCTACCTTCAAAATATCCAGAGACTGTCTATGTGTTACCTCTTCCACCACTGCTATCCTGGTCCAAGCCCCTATCACTACCCAGTTGGATTTTTACAATATTCTTCTATCTGGTTTCCCAGCTTCCACCTTTGCTCCATTAAAATCTATTCTCAGGCCAGCTGAGTGGCGCGTTGGTTAAGAGTTGGCTTGGGATGCCAGCTCTGAGGAGCAGAGCCCCAGTTCGGATCCCACATGAGGGCCAGTGATGCTGCGCCCTCTATACCTAAGATGGTGAACAGCTCGACCTGGAGCTGGGCTGCCGTGAGTCACCAGTGATGGCATAGGCTGCAGTGGGGCTGGTCGACAGCTAGCGTGAGCTGCCGCGAGTGGCCGTCCAATGGCCGGCGAGCAATTGCCTTAACTGGGAAGAGTGCAATGATAATACCAACATGGGCCAGTGAAGTGATGTCCTCCACAACTAGACTGAAGAACAAAAGGACAGCAACTTGTCTGTTCCCCTTCCCCGATTCCCCAACGCTATTCCCTCTCCCAATTCCCCAATAAAATCTTTAAAAAAAAATTCTATTCTCAACATAGCTGCTAAAGTGATCATTTTAAACGATCATGTCACCATTCTGCCCCAAACCCTCTAATAGCTTTCCATCTTATGCAGAATAAAAAAAAATTCTTAAGAATGTGCCCTACAAGATTCTACATAATCAGTCCTCTCCATGTATTTCTCTCACCTTATCTTCTGTCACTCTCCCCTTTGCTTATTCCACTCTAGCACTATTGGACTCCTTGCTATCCTCATGGATGGCTCTCTTACTTTCTTCAAGTTTTTGCTCAAATGTTGCCTAGTCAATAAGGACTTCCCTGACTATGATACCTCAAATGGTGAAATCCTCACCACCATCACCACACCCTCCCCATACTTTTTGCCCCTTTTGTCCTGCTTTCATACTTAACACTACTTGCCATGCTAAATATTTATTTGTTTATTTTCTACCTCCTCTCACTAGGAAAAAATTGTAAGCCACTTGAGGACAAGAACTTTGTTTTGATGTACCCCAGGCCTAAAACAGTGACTAACTTATAGAAGGTAGCCAATAATACAGAGGGTGCCAATAAAATGTATACACATTTTATTTTATTTTTTATTTTATTTTAAAGATTTTATTGGGCAATTGGGGAAGGGGAACAGACAAGTTGTTGTCCTTTTGTTCTTCAGTCTAGTTGTGGGGGACGTGGCTTCACTGGCCCATGTTGGTATTATCATTGCATTCTTCCTGGGTGAGGCAGATCGGTCACCGGCCATTGGATGGCCGCTCACGGTGGTTCACGGCAGCTCACGCTAGCTGTTCACCGCTCACAGCAGCCCATGCAGCCCTCCTGCAGCCCCACTGCAGCCTACGCCATTGCTGGCCACTCACGGAAGCCGCTATAGCTCCTGGTCGAGCTGTTGTTCACCATCTTAGCTGTAGAGGGCGCAGCGTCACTGACCTTCATGTGGGATCCGACCCGGGGGCCTGCTGCTCAGAGCTGGCGTCCCAAGCCAACTCAACCAACACGCCACGCGGCCAGCCCAACTCTTGCTGTCTTTATTTATCACAAGTAGGCAGAAATGAGTGAAATAAGGAAAAGTGATACATACAAAACTAAATGCATCCATTTTTTTTTTAATTGGGGGAAGGGGAACAGACAAGTTGCTGTCCTTTTGTTCTTCAGCCTAGTTGTGGAGGACATTGCTTCACTGGCCCAAGCTGGCACCATCATTGCGCTCTTCCAGGGCAAGGCAGATCAGTCGCCGGCTTCTGGACAGCTGCTCACGCTGGCTGCTGGCTACACACGGTAACCCCATGGCAAATCACTGCAGCAGGGGCTGCAGCCTCTGCAGTCCCACGGGCAGCCCAGCTCCAGGTTGAGCTGTTGTTCAGCATCTTAGCTGTAGAGGGCAGTGTCACTGGCCTTCATATGTGGGATCCTGTTGGAAGCCATGCAGGCTGGCTTTAGTGATGCATTACTTGTTTTGCATCTTGTTTTGCTCCTTTTTGCACCTGGAGGATGTTTACTTAACACTGAGGTACGTGGTGAGTAGGCCAGTTCCTTGGGAGACACAGAAGATTTGTAGCTATCTGGGTTAATGGAAGGACGTGTTCTGGGTGGCTTACCCCCTAGGGTCCCCCTGACCTTTAAAGTATCTAGTAGATAGTTAATGATGTACTACTTTTGAATAAGGTAATGCATATTTATCCCTTCTGTTTTGCATGTACCCTGGATGTATATAAGGGTGTTGGAAAATAAACTCGGGGCTTCAGTATTTACTGGAGTCCTCCCAGTAACACTCTCTTCTCTTTTTTAATCCTAACGCCCCCCCACCCCCGACTGTTCAAACATATCGGCTGGCTCCGATAACCTGGCACCCGAGCAGGGACCTGAGTATGGGGGATAACGTGAAGGAGCCACCGCAGAAACTGTGGGACGCGCGTTGGAAAGTAAGGTGTGCGGTGAGTAAAAGCCTCTACCAGGAGTCAAAACAATTTAATATGGGACAGGGTAATAGTCGGCCGCTATTTACTCAAGTGTTAAAAAATACGTTAAAAGCTCGAGGAGCGGGCCGGCCGAGTGGCGCGATGGTTAAGAACTCGCTTGGGATGCCAGAGGGCCCCGGTTCGGATCCCACATATGAGGGCAGGTAACACTGCCCTCCACAGCTAAGATGCTGAACAACAG